CTTTGACAGTCTAAATCCCTGGTAATTTAGGTGAAACACAAAACCACATTGTGGTTCTGGGGCCTAAGAAACTAGCCCAAGGTGAGCTCAAAGGCAGTTCCTCCCAGGTCCACTCTGACTTTCCGGTGTCTCCTCACCTTCCCCTGAGGCTAACTATTACAGTTTGAATTCTCTCCCTCCCATCCCCAAGTGGATAATAACAATTAAAGCCCTGTTCCTCAAAGCCAGCCACAAAAGCTAAAAAATAATCCTCTAACAACCCCACACTACATACTACACAGGTTCTGTGTAAGAGCTCTCTGTAGAGAAATTCTTGGACCTCTCGTGTTTGGTCCCTAACACTACAACTGAAGACTGGAGAACCATCTGGCCAGCCAAGCCTTGTTGGTTTCCCTGTCAGTCTGCAACCCTTAGATTGACCAGACCCTTCTAGTTCACTGGTATTTGTACACAGTTGACCAAGCTTCATCAAACCTAAGAATTAAAATGGGACAGTTAACTTTGGAAGGCAATCTGAAGGCTTCTACATCATGTGAAACTATAACCAAATAAATGTGCTTTTCTCTGGGTAATCGGTGAACTGCTAGTCAGAAAGGCAAAGTATAGACTCTACAGTAGATAGCAGTGTAAGGGCAAATGTGAAAACTTGGGGTTTGGCACTAACCAGCTTGAAGTTTCAGAGGCTGATGAGGGTGATAGGGTGATACAACATTTTTTCACGTCTGGATGCTCCCCAGTTCCTACTCAGTGGGATAACTGTCCAGAGAATATACCTTTACCATAAGGGAAGGTGGTGTAACATTAAATGTTGTAGATAAAGCCTCTCTTTCCACATCTCTTCGACAGCTCTTTTTAAATAACTTAATGTTGACTTGTATTTTAAAAACCCTAGAGAGAAGGACATTGTGTGGTGTTTCCCAATCTTAAACACAGACCTCCACTTTCAAGAAAGACCATTACAGAGCACGTTTGGGAGGCTGGGGAAATGGCTTCTGGGTAAAAGCACTTGCTGCTCAAGCCTGATAACCTGAGCTCAGATCACGGGAACCCATGCAAAAGTGGATGGTGAGAACCAACACCCAAGGTTGTCCTCCAGCCTCCACAAACACACCTTGGCATGAATGCACACACACACACACATGTACACACACACACGCACACATACATCCTCCAACCTCAACAGACACACCGTAGCTTGAATGCACACTCACAAACACATATGTGCACACACACATCCTCCAACCTCCACAGACACACCATGGCATGAACGCACACACAAACATGTACATGCATTCACAAAAATTCTTTTTTTAAAAAAAATAACATATTGGGGGAATTATTAAAAGCCAAGCCTTTGGTTCAAAAACAGCAATTTCTTCAAAAGGTTAACATTAATCCTAACTAAAAACAAATTCTAAAGACATACTTGTTTTTAATAGATAGTTTTAAAAAGCAACCAGACACACCATTAAAAAATTTTCTTTCCCCAGGAAGAAAGCAGCAGATAAGATTAATACCCTGCTTGATCCCAAAGAGTGTCCATGGCACTCATGAGAAGACAGAGTGCTAGACTTAGCAGTTCCATGGTTTTCCAGGGTCCAGCAGCTCAAACAACGGTGCAGATTCTAACGGAAAACAATGCTCCAGTTAATTGTGGTACCCACTTTCTTTTCCAGAGTGTCTGATCCCACCCATGGGACAGTGATGGGTAAACCCGTCATGGAAAAGACAACTTCGGGATCTGTTAGTTCTATCGGCATCACTTCCGACACGTCAGGATGTGTGTGATGTCTTGCATCAGTACCTGGGCAGGATCTGGCCTGCTGTATGCTGTACTGATTTTACTGCCCAACTTGGAGTTCCGCTAGCATCCCCATACCAGAGCCTCAGTTTCAGAGACTCTAATCACCGTCCTTCCCAGTTCCCACTGTGTCCTTTCAAATGTATGGGGTTTCAGACTTCCAGAACAGGGTGGAGGATCTTTACAGTGCTATGCCTCAGGTGAGAATTCTGGTGTGCTCATTTGTATCTCAACAGATCCTAAACTCTGAGAATAGCGGCCATTGTTTCTTCTTGGGTCACTGGCTCAAAAACAGCAAACCTTTTACAACAATAAAAAAAGGGGGGGCATGGAGGAGAGCATGCTGGTACACACCTTTAATCCCAGCAACAGGAGACACAGGTGTACCTCAGAGAGTTCAAGGCCAATCTGGTCTACACAGTGATTTTAGGCCAGCCAAGACTACATAATGAGATCTAGTCTCAAAAGAGAGAGAGTGGAGGACATGCCCTTTCCTGTGACGTTTAGCTAGATCATACATTATTTAAGAATTAAGAGCCAGGCATGGGGACGCACACCTTTAATCCCAGCACTCGGTAGGCAGAGGCAAGGGGATCTCTGTGAATTGAGTTTGCAGCAAAGCTAGTCCACATAGCAAGCTCCAGGACAGCCACAGCCAGCCAGGGCTACACACACACACACACACACACACACACACACACACACACACACACACACAAACTATCTCAAAGAATTAAAAGAGGAGGGGAATTCTGGAGGCAGAGGTAGAGGCCACCCAGAGTTACACAGTGAGATCTTTCTCAAAAAAAGCAAGATACTCTTAAGGAGAGTATCTTAAGGAAGATACTCTTAATTTCCTCTTGGCACTGCCAGGAAGAGCTTCCCTGCTATGTATGGTTCAGTCTAACCAGAATTTTGCATGAATGCCATTTTAAAAGTAGGTTTTACTATGGAACTCTCTACAATTCAAAAATCATTTGGCAAGACATAAACAATGGCCATTGTTTACTAGTTGAAAAGAAACAAGAATCTTTTTTTTTTTTAAGAAGGGTCTCTTGTAGACCATGGAGGCCTCAAACTTGCTTCGAAGCCAAAGGTCATATGATCCTCCTGCCTGTCCTTCAGAGTGTTGGGACTGCAGGCAGGCATATGCCACCAGGCCTGACTTTATACAAATACACTATACAGGTATCACTCCACCAGCTGAGATAAATTCCTAGTCTTTCAGATGTTTAACCCAGAATCACTGTGTGAATATGAAAATATTAAATTTTCAGAATGTTATCTAGCCAGTGCAGTGTGATCAGCAGTTAAAACCTAGGTCCTGGAGTCAGACAAACCTGAGGCTGAAATCTTGCTCCCAGGTAAAATTCTTATGAGCCCAATTATCCATGTCTGAAAAGGAAGCCCAACTCATGGAGTTGTCAAAAGATAAAAGAAATAGGCTACATGAAGTCCTTAGACACAGATGTGTCAAAACTATGCAAACTAATTTTTGTTTACTATTGTATCTTCCTATCTATCCTGTTGTAGTGTACAAGGGTTGCTTACCTCCCTTCAGTTAAACTAAGAACACTTTTAACATACTGTAACTAACTCTTTGACCTGCCCAACACAGCAACTTCTATAGCCCCTTAAGGAAGAGAAATTCCCCATTAAATATGATACATCATTATTCACATGGAAGAGTGTACAATAAGAGTGCATCAGCTTTTAAAAGTATTTTTGTAAGTTTGGAAAGCAATCTAAATGTCTATTAAGGGGAGAGTGCATCAAGTACAATATATTCATGGAATGAAAATCATATTAAATTTAGAGAAGCAGACAGCCCTTGAGTAGCAGGCCCAGAGCCCTGGAACCCACCTAGCACTGAAGAAAGAAAAAAGTTATTTTAAAATCTCCCACACCACCTTTCCTTACAACTTGCAATTACCATCCTGTTTATTTTCTGTATGTGCACACCAAAAATCTAAGCAATATGCACAAAAGCAGAAACAAAAGGTGAAAAAGAAAAGACTGTTGTGTGAGGCTGTGATAGTACATCTCTGTAATCCCATCTCTTGGGAAGCAGAGGCAAGTGGATCTCTGTGAGTTTGAGGACAGCCTGGCCTGTCTTACGTATTAAGTTCTAGGCCAGCCAGGACTACATAGTGAGATACTGCTGTTGTTTTAAAAGACTATTGCCCAGCGTGGTTCAGAATGTTCTTGTAATCCCACCTGAGGCAAGGCCAGGCTGGGCAGAGAGAAACACAGAAATTATTGATTTTATGAAGTGTCCCAAAAGACAGTGGTAGCCTGATTTAGCAATGAGAATCGCTCAGTCTTGAAGTCAGGTGATGGGGCCTATCTTTATTCTGCTCCACACCAAGACACTCCATTTCACCGACTTTCAGACAGCACCTGCCTTGCAGCATGAGATAAAATAGTGAAAAAATCTTATGCATCAGATACTAAACTTGGGTATTGCATAATCAGTCAAGAAGTCGAGCAAAAGCTCTTGACGAAAATGCGGAGTCTGCACCTTTTGCATTTTATTTTCACAAGGTAAAAAAAAATGTCAACACATCAGGAGACGCTACCCCTTCTCCTCTCACGTGGCTCTCTCCTATGCTTTCTATATTTAGAACTCAGACTGCCACTTTTGATGAGCTGCCTTTTGGGGCTCCCTGTGTGACCTTGGGATCCACTTTTCCATCTTGCCAATCTCCCGCTCCTGGTCGCGCCGCACCCACCCGCTCGCTCACTCACACACACTCACACACACACACACACACACACACACACACACTCACTCACATCCTTCTGCAGCACGACAAGCGGATAATGTAGCCACAGTGGCGGTCACAAAAACAGACTGTAAAAACGGCAGTGCAATGCAATATTGTTGGTGCTGGAACGTTCCGTTTGCTTTCCAACACTTAGAGGAAAGTACTGTGGATTCTTGGCGCCCAGTCTGCCGAAAGAAGCCTAGGGCTGGTACAACTCTACAACTTGCTTCCAAATGCACGGTCCTTGCGGATTCCATACAAAGACTGGCACACGGAAGCCCCAAGCTGCAGGCTGCAAGCTGCAAGTGAGACGGGTCAGACTCACCGCTCTCTCCTTCCCAGCACCAGAGGACGCACCAAGCTCCCGCGGAATGTGTTGCCACCCCCCCCCCCCCGCCGCCGTGCCCCCTCCGCCCGCCGCAACGCCCCACCTGTCTTGAAGGCCATGTTGTCACTGTCCTTGGCCCCGAAGGTGTCCTGCATGGACACAAAGAGCACCCCATAGGCGTTCTGGATGCCGAACACCGACCCGTTGCACCACATGGCCGCCAGCATCACCAGCCAGCCCCAGCCTCCCTCGGGGGGGACAGGGGGCTCGTCGCCCGTTGACCTCGTCAGCTCCACCTCCACCTTCTCTGAGGACACGTCGGGGCCGTCCGAGGGTCCCGAGCCGGGCAGCGGAGCGTCCTCCGAGGGCGCGGGCCCCGGTGGCTGTGCCTCGCTCGTCCCCTGTGTGGCGGCGGCCACGGGCTCCTCCTGGGACGGTACCATGGCCGGAGGCGGCCCCGTCGGGCGGGCGCCGGGAGAGCTCGAGGGCACAAGGTCCGGGGTGGCTCGCGGAGGCTGCGAGAGCCTGGCGGGCGAACGAGGGAGGCCGAGGTGAGGGCGCTGGAGCCGCAGGCGGGCGAGCGGGGGCAGGTACACGGCGGCCGGAGGACTTGCCACACCGCGGCCCCACACACCTGACAGAGTGCAACCCCCGCGCCCGCTTCTTAAAAGCGCCCCTCCCGCGCCAGCTAGGGGCGTGGCCAGTGGAGGGCCCTACCCCCTGAGCCCACAGATGATTGGGCCTCGGAGAGCAGGGGCTCCGCCCCGTGGCCCCGCCAAGTTCGGTGACTGCGCGCACGCGCGCGCACTGAGCGCGCTTGTGGCGGCCAGATTAGCTACCCTGTGTCTATCACCGCCTTTTGGTATTAACCTTACAAATTCTGGGCAACTTCTCCGAGAGTCATCGATCAGCCGCCCTGGGCCTTTAAAGCCTCTAGAACAGAGTCACAATTGACACTCATTAGGTTGTTTGTTGTCCTTTTTGTGCTAATTATAATACAGATTCCTTACACTGCACACCTACTTAAAAGGCAATTCGAGAATCAGAGCCTTGTTTAATTAAGTTCCTCTCTCTTCCCTGAAAACGCAGTTTGTTTTGAACACTTGGCACACTGAAGATGCTCACTTTGGAAGACAGACTGTGAGTCCAAATTTCTCAGCTAACAAACATTTTTGACAGGCAGCTAGAAAGCAATACTTCTCAACTACACAAGCTGTCTCACAAAAAAAAGAAGCAGAACTGGCACTTAACTCCTCTGACCCCCTGAAACACCGCATGCCAATACAGCTTCTTAATCGCTCTGATGTTTATATTCCTCACTCCAAACAAAATCAAAATATGCTAGTTTCTTAGGTGCCTATCTGTGTGGTGAGATGTACTGTGACAATCACATGTGTGCTTATCTCAGTCCTAAACTAGTAAGTAAGCACAGTCCGGAAATACAAAGTGGGGTGCAGGGGGTGAGGTGGGGAGAAGGTAAGGGGAGCGGGAGGACAGAAGGGAGAAGGAACTGGGATTGGTATGTAAAATAAGATTGTTTTAAAAATAAAAATATATACAGATATAAAAAATACAGGGCATCACATATGGAATAAGGTCATTAACTATTTTCAAAACACTAAAGAATGTCTGCTCCGGGTTAGCCACGTGATTTTAGTGGACAGGTGTTGGTCAGGAATCTGGGGCTAGAGCCCACACGTGGAGTGCTTTAGAAACTGAGTTAAAAGGTGCACTGGCTCTGCTGTGGAATATCCCTTTAAAACCCATCTTTGGTGTCTCTGTCACTGTTCCATTGCTCTGAGGAGACACCATGACCAAGGCAACTCTTACAAAAGCATTTAACTGGGGGCTTGTATACAATTTCAGAGGCTTAGTTCACTATCATCCTGACAGGGAGCATAGGGTGTGGCTCTGGAACAGCAGCTGAGAGCTGTAGCCTGTTCAGCAGGTCCTGAAAGAAAGACAGGGCCTGGCCTTGGCTTTTGAAACCTCACCGCTCACCCAGTGGCACACTTCCTCCAACAAGGCCACACCTCCTAACCCTTCTAATCCTCTCAAACAGCATCCTCCCTAGACCAAGGATTCAATGAGCTTGCAAGTGCCTTTCTTATTCAAATCACCACATGTAGTAAGGGTTCATCCTCACGCTAAGAATTAGTGATGCTGTTGGGAAGTGGTGGGAATGCTAAAAGGAAGAGCCTTGTGCCGGTTATTGGGTCAGCTTGTCACAACCAGGGTCATCTGGAAAAGGGAATTTCAATAGAGAAAATGCTTCTATCCTATTAGCCTGTGGGCAAATCTGTGGAACATTTTCTTTACAATTGATGTAGGAGGACCCTGGCCTCTGTGGATAGCGACACCCATAAACAGGGGATCCCAGATGATGGAAGAAAGCAGGCCAAGACAGCCATCAAAAGCAAGCCAGGGAGCAGTGCCCCTCCAAGGCCTCTGCTTCAGTTCCTGCCTCCAAGTTCCTGTCCTGAAGAAGAGAACCTGGAAAATGAAATTAACCCTTTCCTCCCCCAGTTGCTTTTGGTCACAGTGTCATCTAAGAGACATCTAAGAGAAAGCAAGCTAGAACAGGAGTAGTGGGAGATCTTAGGTAATTGGCCTCTGAGGATCTGGTCTCTTCCCTCCTCCAGTTCATTCAGGGCCCTAAGGAGAGTGGAGTTCCTCTGCCACACGCACTCACCATAATGCACTGCCTTGCCACAGACATAAAAGCCCTGCGACCATCCAGCCATGGATAGACGTTTATTAAAGTGTGAGCCAAGTAAACCTTTCTCCTTTTAAACTTGATTATCTTAGGTATTTGCTATTATAATAGAAAGCTGACTAGCTTTCATAGTAAAGTGAGAGCCAGGTGTGGTATTGCACACTCCGAACCCCAGCACTTGGGGGTGGAAGCAGAAAGATCAGTACTTAAAGGTCATCTAGAACTGCTTTGCAAGTGTGAGACTACCCTGGGCTATGTGAGACCCTGTATCAAAGAAAAGGTAAACTGAGGAATAGACACACCAGTTCACACCGAGAGTGTGCAGGAGGTCACAGCAGGATTCTTGAAAATAAGGAAACTGAGAGCAAAATGCACTTTTGATTGATGTAGTGGCACACACCTATAATTCCAGCACTTGAGAAACTCAGGCAGGAAGATCACAGGTTCAAGACCAACCTGGATTAATAGCCAGACCTTATCTCAAAATAAGTAAATTAGATAGATAGATAGATAGATCGATCAATGGAAGATTGATTAAACAGACTAAATGTTGTGTTTACAAAGGTAGACAGTTGATTCTAACATTGAAGTCCTAGAAGTAGGACTTTGAGACTGGTCAAGCTGCAGCCACAGTTAGGAAGCAAAGACTCCTCCATTACGCTTCTCCTCAGATAACTCTGTCCTTCTAATGCAATGTGGGACCCAGATTCAGGGAATGGTGCTGCCCCACTGCTCTGGAGAGGAGGGGAATCTTCCCACCCCAGTTAATCTAACTAAGATGATCCCTCACAGGCATGCTCAGAAGCCAACCAAATCAAGATATATATGTGGATTATAACCTAAATGCAAATAAATATCCATGATTTCTGGTACAGGCATGTGCCACCACATCTGTAGCCTAACTAACTAACTCTGTAGCCTCAAACTTGTGAAAGTCCTTTTCCTTGTCCTCCTAAGTGCTGGGATTAGAGGCATGAGCCACAAGACCCGGTTCATAGTGGGGTTTTTCATCTGTAGTTTATGTTAAATTTATTATTTATTGACAAAGTGCCTTAAGTGACTATTCATAAATTCATGCATTTCCTCTTTAAAAGTATCATTTTTAGCTAAATATTAATTCCTTTTCACTCTCCTAATTTTTCTCCAGTTAGCCTAATCCATCAAAGATGCTCGTTAAATATGTGAATTAAATTAAATATACAGAGGACTAAAGAGATGGTTCAGTGGTTAAAAGCACTTGTTGCTCTTCCAGAGGACCTGAATTTAGTTCCCAGCACCCAAGTGGTGGCTCCCAACCGTCCATTCCAGGGGATCTAACACCTTCTGATGCATGTACATGTTCTGGTGGATGCTCAGTTCCTGACATTCATATACCCAAAGAGTCTAGAATGTTCTGGTGGAAGCTCCACCTCAAACCCCATGCCCCATCTCTCTCCAAACCCTGCCTCATCTCAGAAAGCCTGTCAAATGATGATCCTTCCCCAGAGATGTTCAAGACCAATCTCACAGGGTATTTAAACTGCCCCCCAGAAAACAGACATGTGGTTTCTGGTCTCTGTTCCTTGTCTCCTCTCAGGGGAGGGGGACAGAAAATCATCCAGAAGCATTCTACCCATTAAATCTGGGCTTTTTATAATTCAGTTTGATTCGGTCTGATTTGGATTGCTACATCGGCGGAGAGGCTTATGGGGGTGTAGAGACTTTTCAGTACAAACAGATAGGTGAAACACTCATATACAGAAAAACTACAATAAATGTCTAAAACACAGACTTAAAAATAATTAAATCAATAAATAGAATATAAAAGTACTAAAGTGCTGACGATGTGGTCATGAGAGTCCAATTGAGCTACATGTAAGTGCAGTTTCCAGCTATGTTACACAACACAGGCTGCTTTGATGCCATTTTAATGACCATTTTAGATCAAACAGTCAAATGTAACTTTGAGATACTTCAATGGCTATGGAGAGATTTCTAAAACATCCTCTTTCCGTGATGCACTCTGTAAGTCATCAAATCAAAATAACACTATAACGGTGATTATTTTGTAGGCGTGCTCCTGAACATCTGGGAAGTCATATAATGAGACATGCACAAACACACTACCTAGAAGCCTTAGAGTGGACAACTTGATTAAAAGCACACGCGTGAAGGCCGGGCATGGTGACTCACACCTTTGATCCCAGGACTTCAGAAACAGAGACAGACAGATGTCTGTAAGTTCAAAAGCCAGTCTGGTCTACATAGTGAGTTCTAGGACAGACAGACAGAGATACGTAGAGAAACCCCGTCTTAAAATAAATTGGTTGTTTAATTAATAAATTAATACATGCCTGGGGCTGGGGCTGGGGCTGGGCTTACAACTGAGTTGGAGAGCACCCAGTATATGTGAGGCCCTGTGTTCAGTCTCTAGAACCACAAAGACAAAAACAACTTGGGAAAAAAAAAAAAAAGCAAGTACAACACAAAACAAGTGCCCAGAGGGGCTGGGTATGCGGAGTATTTGCATTGCTTGTGCAAAGTCCTGGGTTCAAGCAAAACAAAATTAAAAAAAAAATGCGTAGAGTTTTTGAACATTGGTTTGCACAAAGGATAATTGTGATATTTTGTACAAAAACTCCTTATTTCAGAAACAAGACTGAATTAGCTCTGTTTTCTCTTTCCTTGATCTCTTCCAAAGTCCCCTCGACCTGCCCATCTTCTAGTACGCCCACCTCAGTTTTTCAAAGTCCAAACTAATTCGCTAAGACCCCTCCTTCACATGCCTCTTTGCAGCGTCCCTAAATACGTTGCTGCCGATCCCAGCTTGAGAACTGCTCTAGAAGCTGAAGCTGGTTCCAGCTGAGTCCTTTTCTCACGGACCATCACGCTCTCCTAGCTAGCCCTGCTGCCAACAATCTGTGGCTCCCTGAGTCCATCCTCCATGCTGTACC